GGAGGGGGGGGGGGGAAGGTTTGAAGCCCCCTGCGGTCTGTCAGGCTTCTCCCGCAACCAAATCCTCCAGAAAAACCAGCCCGGCTTGAGGCCCCCCCCCCTCCTGGAGTCACTGACCTGGGAAATGGGGGCTCAGAGCCAGCGCAGGGGCAGGGTGGTCCCCGCCGGCCACGTCTCACCATCCCGGGGGTGCCAAGTCCAGCGTTTCACTCACGCTTGGAGCCTCACATTTCTCAGTCCCTGAACCCTTGGTACTTCAAGGAAGGAAATGTGTTAAATCGCACAAATATTCCCTCGTTATTTCCAGCGCAATGGGGAGAGCCTGGGGAGTCACGGCCGGCGTGTGGGATAACCATCCCAAAGGCCGCCGGTGCCCCCCGCTCCCCTTCCATCAGCTGCTCTGGGGAAAGGTACAAAACACCTTTTGGAGAAGTCGAACAGCACAAATCCCCTTCTGCTTGGAGGTTATAACAACGACCGACAGAGACTTACCTTCTCCCCTCACTCAGGAGCGAACTTCAAGGCACGCAAAGCAAACTGCAGGCTGCTCCTGTCACAAAATGTAGTGATCTCTACGCACCCAAGTGGTTCCGTGAAACAGGGGGCACAGCCCGCAAGAAATAATTAAAACCTTCGGCATATTACGGCAGTAAATGATCCTAAAGGCAACATCTGTTCGAACAGGTGACTATCGGCACTTTGTATGTACATTAGCTCACATGAGGCTATAAGGAAAAGAGTTTTTCCTGGGTATCGGTCGGGCCTCGGGCAACATTTAGGTAGCTAATATCCAATTTGCAATAAATGAAAAAGTAGCTCGTTATGACAGTAGCAAAATGATTAATTTGTTAGCCTGTAGGGTTTTATTTTGATGTATTGATTGGACTAGACAATACTAAATGAGTTACCCTGCCCCTCTGATCTGTGCTGGAAGAAATTTCGAAACCTCAGCGTATTTTTGCTCCGAACATGGAAGAAAGCATCTACATCACATTTCTAAATTTAGACAGTGCAACTGTTCCTTTTTTCTCTTTAATGCTAGCTTTCCTCCTCAATTTTATATCTGAATGGTTTCTTGCCTTTGCTCGTCAGGTAAAAGAGTGTCTTCAGCTATCAAAGAGGAAGCAAACACTGCCTGAAGGTTTGAGAGACTGCATCAAGGCCCTTGGGCAGCCGATCCGAGATGCGCTAAGTCCAGCTACCATCTCAAGATCCTGCCCTGGCAGCAGCATCATGGTTACAGCGGAATGACCACAAATACAGGCGCAGGGAAGTCTACATCTTTAGCACTGACTCGCCTCCCTGATCTTGGCAGGTCATTTCTCCACGTTACGCTAAAAGTTGTGGAATACTGGTAGAAGAAATAGATGCACCTTTAAGAGGATGATGTCACCAGCATGCTAATATTTCTAAAGCTATTCTCATCTGCTCCAAGATAGCTATTTAAAATACTTTTTTAAAAAGGCAATCCTTACTGCATACGGGCCTAATTCAGAACAGCAGTTCTTGAACTCTGAGTACATTCCATAACTTGAGTCCAATAGTGATTAGGTTCAGAAAGTAATAATGAATCTTCAGATGACACTTAGCTTTTTCCTTCCCATCACCATGTTGCCAGAACCTAAGTAGTACAGAATAAAATAAATGAAGAGATTAAAGAGCTGAAAAACATGCTTGTTCAATATTCAACATCTACACAGCACTGAATTTTAAAAACTTCCATATGATTTAGCGTGTACCCAAGGGACCAGAACCGAGCTCCCAAGTGTATCCTCAAGCTCCATTACACCAATTGGCAATACAGCCCGATTTTCTTTCCTCTTAGCGATGACCTAAAAGGTTCTCAAAAAGTAAATAATTTAAAAATTATTAATGTAGTTGCAAGCTGGCTTATTTAGCCTTGCTAAACAAAGGCAATGAATGGATATTATCTGTTGTATAAACACACATGAGGGGAGGTGACCAGGAGGGAAGGAGAAGAGCTACTGAAACTAAAGGACAACGTTGGGATGAGAACAAGTGGGGAACAGAGTCAGAAAATACCAAGATGTAGACCTGCTTTTTTTTTACAAAAGCTCACTCATTCCCCTGGTAAAGCTATAGTTTATGTATGAA